TCTCTCTCTCTCTCTCTCTCTCTCTCTCTCTCTCTCTCTCTCTCTCTGTCTTTTTGGTGTGTGTGTGTGTGTGTGTGTGTGTGTGTATGTGTGTGTATGTGTCTAGAGATTGAACCTTGAACCCAGGGATGCTCTACCACTGAGCCACATCTACTCTTTTTATTTTTTATTTTGAGACAGAGCCCCACTAAGTTGCTTAGGCCTTGCTAAATTGCTGAGGCTGGCCTCCAAGTAGCAATCCCCCTGTCTCAGCCTCATGAGTGGAATTACAGGTGTGTCCTACCATGCTCAGCTTATTCTAGAATATTCTTGGGCAAACATTGATAATGACTACCTAGAACCGTTTGACAGATTCAGTAGCTTTCATTAGGACTCAATGGCAAACAGTGCTATGACTGATTAGTGATGTCTCCATGGAATTGGAGCTGGGCAATTAGAAATTTGTGCTGAGAAGTACCCTGAGCACAATATCAACATATGCTATATGGCATATTTATTTATTACTAGTAAGCAGTGAAAAAAAATGTTGACTTCTGTTAAGGTCTTAGACAACTAACTACTAGCATTTGATTCTTGGTAAAATGCAAACAAGGCATGTAAATGCACTCAATTGAAATGTTAGATTCAGGACAAAGATTGTGCTCTTTTTTCACTTTCAGGTGTGCATTCAAGACCTTATCTCCCCCATCAATGTCTCCCTGAATTTCTCTCTTTGGGAAGAAGAAGGGACACAGAGGAATCAAAGTGTGGTAAGAAGAGATTGGCTGGGGATATTAATGGGTAATATGGAAGAGAAGAAATTCTATTTAGCAAGAAGTCACTGGATTATATAGGAGTTTGTGATTCTAAGCAACATAAACCAAATATGGCTTACTCAAGCAGGAAAGGAATTTTAAAATAGATATCTAAAAAAATTCAAAACACAACTCTTGGAATAAGGGGGTCTGGGTAGTGACTCTGGGTGCTCTCAAGAGGAGAAGATAATGGATAGACTCTCCAGGTCCCCTTCAGTGAATCTACTCTGGGTCCCTACAAGGTATCAGCTCCAGATTACACCAGGTTCCAACACTGTTCAACCTATAAATTCCGGGGAGAGAAGTTCAGAAGGCCTAGCTTTGGGCCCAGGCTTGTCCCTTATTGGTGAAAGAACAGAGCACCTTGATTAACCTTCTCACCTATGCATGTTCAGTTGGGGACAGACAGTTTCCTCAAAGTCAAATTGGGAAGTTGGGGGCAACAATATCCACCCTCCATTCCCAGATCAGACACTCCCTACCCAGTGCCAAGAGCCTGATGTCCTTTTCTGAGATCCTTGGCACTCAATGGATGGTTTGGTTGCATCTAGAGGATAGAACCTGGGCCTGGGAGCCTGAACATGTGGCTTTCTTTCCTGGTACAAGCATGAACAGGTTCTGTCCCTCCTTGGGACTGTTTCCCCACCTATGAGGTGAGTCCAGCCTTGTGAGGCCCCTTCCAGAGCTGGAGGCCTCTCGTTGCTGACTGCAAGTTCCTGTGGCTTTTGGCAGCAGTCAGCAGAGCACCCTGCCCACTTGAGATTTRAAGATACCGATGGTGTGCTCACTAGAAATAAAGCCCTGCCTACCGGATGCTCACCACGCACCTAAGCAAAGCTGACTGAGCCCCTTTCCTGTGCTAAGACCTTTTCTGGGCACTGGTTCTACTGAAACCAATAGGCATGACTCCACCATTGAAAAGCTCACAGTCCACTGTTGGAGAAGCTGGGGGATCAGCAGTGACAACATACTGCCATGATGCCACAGTCAAGTTAGGTTCAGGACAGCAGATTTGAGGGGATAAGAAAAGTCTGCCCACAGAGGTGACCAGGAAGTCCCCAGGTAGAGAGRTGGGCATTCAGGAACTGTTTTTCTTCATATCATCACTTACTATCTTTGTGTTGGTTTCATTGTCTGAGGTTATCTTCACTACTTGSCAACTCCAAGTAGAAAGCAGAAATCTTGTGGTCATAACCTTGGCCGTAGTCACACCCCTAAACTAATCTGTTGGACYAGGCCTGGGTAGAATGTGTACCCAGTAGGTGGATATATGGGGACAATCAAAGCCCTTGCAAGGACTTGAACCTGGGATCAGGGAGACTGCTCTAATGATTGGTCCCACTGGGGGATGGTAAGCTCTGACCCAWGGCATTTTCTGTGGAAGTAGAGAGGAAGAGATGCATTCAAGAGAGTTTAAGAGGCAGAATTGTCAGAGACTGAGATGTGGGGAGAGAGGCAGAAGATGATACTCATATCTGACTTGCATCTGGGTGGATGACGGAGCCTGCCCCACAAAGGAAACACTGAAGGGAACACAGATATGTCAGGAAGGTGAGCTGCAGAGTTCAGCTTTGAACTTCTTTGAACTTGATACACTTGGGGTCTGTGCATCATCCAAGAGGCAACTGGATTCATTATCAGCAGAGGCAAAGTACCATTAAATTAGCTCAGCTGCAAACACAGAAATTTACATGGAAAGTAAATCTCTGGTTCCACTGAGATCAAGAGCCCCTTTTAAGGGGCTGAGACTGTAGCTCAGTGGCAGAGCACTTACCTAGCATGCTTGAGGCACTGGGTTTGAGCCTTAGCACCACATAAAAATAAACCAATAAAATAAAAGCATGCTGCCCATCTACAACTACATAAAGAAAAAAGAAAGTACCTTTTAAAAAGTCTTTTTCCTATAAAAGACAGGTTGGAGTTGGTGTGGCAGTTCTGAGTTTCTAAATCAGGAGTTTAATGTGTCCGTCATCTTTTCATTACTGTAACAAATACTTCTCAGACTTTATCTGGGAAGAGCCAAACCATCAATGTCCTTGGCATTGAAAGCTAGGTGGTTTCTGTTGCTATTCCATTCTGCCCTTATAGCATCAAAGCAGCCATAAACAACAGGCAAATGAGTGGGTGTGTCTGTGTTCTGAAGCACTTTATTAACTGAACATTGAGGGCAGGATTTGGCCTTCCTGTTATAATCCAGTTACTCCTTCTCTAAGTCAGCATCCTCGGTTCCTTCTGAATTGCATCTTCATCTTCTTTCTTCGTCACCTTCTTTGTGCCTTCATGTGCTCAAAGTTGCATGGACTCTACCCATCCCATTTGTGACTTGCCAAGGAAGACAGAAGAAATATGTCTTTAAGAACAGTTCCTCGGGCTGGGGATGTGGCTCAAGCGGTAGCGCGCTCGCCTGGCATGCGTGCGGCCCAGGTTCGATCCTCAGCACCACATACCAACAAAGATGTTGTGTCCGCCGAGAACTAAAAAATAATAAATATTAAAAAAAAAAGAACAGTTCCTCAAAAACCACAAAAGACTTTCACTTACATCTCATTGGTTGGAACTAGGCCATGTGATCTAACAAAAAGTGGAGGCTCTGTTTGAAAAGCAACAGGTGAGGAAGGATATGTGGGTACCACCAGCAGCCTCAGCCATAGGTATTAATTAAATGCCAAACTATGTAGTATAGATACTCAGGGAAAAAGAGACATGAGGTCAGTCAAAGTCAAAAAAAGACTTCCTGGAGGAAATGACATTGGTACTGGGTCTTGCAAATGAGTAAACTTTAGGTAGATGGAGAAGAGGGGAAAGGTATGGTGGAGATATCAAAGGACATGAAGAGATAGACTTTACTTCTGGCACAAAGGCAGCTGGTCAAGTTCAAGGTCTAGACCACCATTTGGCGCATGGCTCAAATGGGTGGTGGAGAGCTGTGTGTGAATGTTGAGGGTATATGGGGAGCAGTCAGCAGAGACCACTAGGACCCCAGACCCTCAAGGAAGAATCTAGAGATTTCATGGCAGGTGATCTGAAGTCAGAGGAGGCTGACTTTCTGGGGCCCCCATTACCTTTAGAATGAAGTCCCAACTCTACCATGGCCCACAAGGCTCTGCCTCCCTGCCCTTCTGATGCATGGCACTCCAGCAAGTCTGAGCACCTTTCCGCTCCTTGAAGGAGCACAGTCTGTCTTGCCTCTGGGCCTTTGTATACACTATGCTTTCTTCCTCTCCATTCTCTCCATCTGGCTCCCTCCTTTAATGTGTCAGTCATCTTTCCATTACTGTAACAAATACTTGAGACAATCGACTTATAAAGAGGAAACGTTTATTTTGGCTTGTGGTTTTGGAGGTTTCAGTTCCTGATCCGTTGACCCTGTTATTTTGGGCCTGGGGTGACGTACCACATCATGGTGGAGCACACAGCAGAGTGACCTATTACCCTCATGATTGCCAGAATCAAAGAAAGAGAGACAAGGGGCTGGGATCCTAATATCTCCTTCAAAGGCACAATCCCAGTGACCTAACTGCCTCCAACTAGGTCCCACCTCTTAGAGGTTCCACCGCCCCCCAGTTGCTCTATGGACTTTAACACATGGCCTTTGGGGGACATTTCAGGTCTACACTATAGAATTTAGATTTCAGTCAGAATGCAAGTTTCAGGAAGTTTCAGGAACTTCAGGAAGTTTCCTTGATCCCCAAGTCTGAGATAGGAGTCCTTTCTCCACGCTCTGAACATACCCTGAACTTGTCTGGTCATAACTTTGACTCATAGTTAAAAAAGCGGGGCGTTTCTCCTTCCAGAACAGGAGGACAGGCAGCATGTCTGTTTGTCCTTTGGTATATAACCAGTGACCAGCATGGGGCCAGGTCTGGAGTAGAAACGAGGAAAATGTTGGAAAAATCAGCCTTGAACTTCTAAGAGCTGGAGAGTCACTTTAGGGGGAGAAGGAATTGGCAGAGGAGAACCCCAAGAAAGTTTACCCTCTCTGAACCTCAGATTGGCAGGCAGGTGAATTCTGGGGCTGTGCAGCCAGGATCCCCTGTCAAGGAAGAAATGGTGAGGCTGCTTTGGCCTCGATTTCTTGTCCATAGGAGGGAACGGGTCACCCCGAGCCTCTGGCTCCCATTAGGTAGCTGCCGCCAGACAGCTGCACACACAGGCAAGGGCTGAGGCTGGAGTGAGGCCAGTCCCACCTTTACTAGTCCTGCTGCTTCAACTGAGCTCCCCTGTCCTCCTCCCTCTGTGCACAGCAGGACAAGGACTTGCAGCCCATTCTGAGACCCGCCCCACACTCTGAGACCAAGGAGGTAAGAGGGGAGGAGGGGCAGATGCCAAGGCCTGGGGTCGGGCTCCAGCTGGGTCTGGAGCCAGAGAGCCTCCCAGTCCTTTCTTCTTGGCCTTTCAGATCCCTTTTGAGAAAAACTGCGGGGAGGACAAGAAGTGTGAGGCTAACCTGGAGCTGTCCTCCGCTGACAGGTCTGGAAGACTTCCTCCCACTCCCACCTCCAGCCTTCCCTTCAATTCCGTCTTGTGTCTTTCCTTTTCTTGGTACCAAGGAGTGAACTCAGGGGTGCTCAACCACTGAGCCACATCCCCAGCCCTTTTTAATATTTTATTTAAAGACAGGGTCTTGGTGAGTTGCTTAGGACCTTGCTAAATTGCTAAGGCTGGCTTTGAACTCGCCATCCTCCTGTCTTAGCCTCTCGAACTGCTGGGATGACAGGTGTGCACCGCTGCGGTCTCCTGGGCACATTCTCGATCTTTCTGATGCAGCAGCTCCCATGTGCTGGGAAAAAACACTGGACTTAAGACACCCCTCTTCCTGCACACTGCCTCTGAGAAATGCGGGTACCTTGTGGAGAACTCAAGTGCATAGGAGCTCATTTTGTGTGGCCTTACAAATCTTTCAGTTCTAAAGTCCCCACCCCGATCCTATTTCCTTCAATCTTGGTTCCTATAACTTTTCTCTGATCCCCTCACCCTCAGACCCACAGTCCTGCGTCTGACGCCATCTGCCAGTCTGACTGTGGGGTGGACACTGAATAACTCGGGAGAAGATGCTTACTGGGTCCAGCTGAACCTGAGCTTCCCCAGGGGACTCTCCTTCCGGAAGGTGAAGGTGCTCAAGGTGAGCCTGAGGGCAGCACCTACCTGCTGCTCTGATTCCCACCGCCTCTACTCCATCCTACATCCTGAGCAGTTGGCAGCAGCTTGCAGAGGAGGACGTGAGTGTCATATCTGTGTTCCCAGCCTGATGGTCCCCCTTGAGCTCTGTGATCGGAGGTACAAAGTTTACCCTCTCTGAACCTCAGATTCCACAACCAAAAATGAGACTGGGGACACTCAGGGGGTTAGTGAGAGGGTCATACAAAAGGAGCATGTGGAAGAGACTCAGGGGCCATGTCCCCCATGCAGTCGGTGAGCAAGATGGACAGTTGAGTGAGATGGATCCGCCTCCCTGGTAGAGGCTATCAGAGTGATTTTGAGCAATGTCCTGGAGTGTTTGACATAATAAAAGTAATATATGATCACAATGGAAATTTGAAAATTACAGAGAAGTTTAAAGAAGACCATGATATCTACTTCTACAACTCAGCAATTGCTACCCTTCCCCCGCCCCTTTGTCCCAGGGATTGAACCCAGGGATGCTTAACCATTGAGTTACATCCCCGGCTCTTTTTATTTATTTTTGTATTGGTTCTTTTTAGTGAGACATTTTGATAAAATTATACATTCACAGAATATATCTTATTCTAATTAGGACCGATCCCAGTCTTGTGGATATACATGACGTACGTCACTGTGGTATATTCATATATGTACATGGGAAAGTTATGTCAGATTCTTTCCACTGTCTTTCCTATTGCTATCCTCCCTCCCTTCCTTTCATTCTAATCCTCTGAACTTCTGTTCTTCCCCTCCCAGCATGGTGAGTTAGCTTCCACATATCAGAGAAGATATTCACCCCTTGTTTTAGGGGGATTGGTTTATTTCACTTAGCATGATAGTTTCCAGATTCATCCCTTTACTGTCAAATATCATAAAGTCTTCTTTATGGCTGAGGAGTATTTCATGGTGCATATATACCACATTTTCTTTCCTTTTTATTTTTTATTTTAAGACAGAGTCTTGGGGCTGGGGATGTGGCTCAAGCGGTAGCGTGCTCGTCTGGCATGCGTGCGGCCCGGGTTCGATCCTCAGCACCACATACAAACAAAGATGTTGTATCCGCCAAATACTAAAAAATAAATATTAAAAATTCTCTCTCTCTCCCTCTCTCTCACTGTCTCTCACTCTCTCTTTAAAAAAAAAAAAGACAGAGTCTTTTTAAGTTGTTGAGGGTCTCACTAAGTTGCTGAGGCTGGCCTTGGAACTTGTGATCCTCCTGCCTCAGCCTCCTGAGTCACTGGGCTTACAGGTGTGTGCCACTATGCCTGGCCAATTAATACTTTAACCTTTTAGTGTTCATCCTTTTTACTTTTCTATATATAGTTTCATATATGCATATGTACATAGGTGTTTATTATATATTATCTGTTTATTTATACACATACACAGTGCTGTGTACTTATTCTTTTTTTTTTTTTTTTTTGGTGGTACTAGGGATTGAACCCAGGGCATTCTGCATGCTATGCAAGTGCTCTCCCACTGAGCTACACCCCCACATTGGGTACTTTTTCTGTATTTGTTTTAACTAATTGACATTTTTGCCCTCCACATAGTTATTCCCCCGCCCATGTTTAAAAAAATTTTTTATGGTGTTAAATATACACAATATGACTCTGCCCTTTAGGTCTGGGTTATTTCACTTAGCATAATGTTTTTGTTTGGAGTTGGTTTTTGTTTTTTCGAGGCAGGAGCTCACTGTGTTGCCCAGGCTCGGCTCCACCTCCTGGTCTCTAACAGTCTCCTGCCTCAGATTCCTGGGTAGATAAAAAAAAAAAAAAAAAAAAAACTACAGCACACACCAGCATCTGACTCTGCCCTGACAGAGCAGGGGTCCTGGAGGAGGTTGATGACCCCTGGGGAACCCTGACCCCTGGTCTCCCTTCTCACTCCCAGCCGCACAGCCAGATGCCTGCGAGCTGTGAGGAGCTTCCGGAGGAATCCAGACTCCTGCCCAGGACCCTTCTGTGCAACGTGAGCTCTCCCATCTTCAAAGCAGGCAGCTCGGTGAGTGAAGTGTGTGCTTGAAACCCAGCAGCCAGGGGGCCCTGAGCTGGAGGAGGGGAGGTAGACTTTGGCTCTGAGGAAGGGGGCAGGTGATTAGCCAGGAAGCCAGTCCCTACCCCAGGGGGCATGTGTAGGAGCTGTTCTCTGTCATGTTAGAAAGCCTGGACCTTGGACGCAGACAAAATGGGCCTGGGTTATTCGTTTTGTGACCATGGGCATTTTGAACCATCTGGATCCTTGGTTTTCTCATCTGTACAATGGGGATGAAGTCCTTAGCCAAATGTTTGGGATGTAGGGAGCACCTGCAGGGGTCACTGCAGTCGTGGTGACTATGCTGGGGGCCATGAGGTGTTCAGACTGCTCCTGAGGCCCCCTGTCCTTCCCTGCTAGGTTGGTATCCAGGTGATGTTTAATACGCTGCTGAACAGCTCCTGGGAGGACTTTGTCGAATTGCACGCCACTGTGAACTGGTGAGCAGGTCCTCAGTGGGTCCCTGCCAGCATCGCCCCCACCCAGGCCTGGCCAAGCCCATCTAACTCCCTCTGCCTTGCCCTGATGTAGTGAGAATGAGGACCCGCTCCTCCTGGAGGACAACTCGGCCACCACCAGCATCCCTGTCCTGTACCCCATCAACGTGCTCATCAAGGAGTGAGTCCTTCTGTGTTGTGTTGCCCCCACTCCCACCTCAGCCTTCCCACCCAGTCTTGATGCCCATGAGCTCCCTGCCCACGCACCCTTCCTTTTCTTTTATTTATTTTTTCTTTTTTGATTCCGGTGATAGAACTCAGAGGTGCCCTACCACTGAGCTACATCCCCAGTTCTTTTTATTAATTTGAGACACCGTGTCTCTAAGTTACTGAGACTGGCCTTAAGCTTGAGATCTTCCTGCCTTAGCCTCCCAAGCTGCTGGAATTACAGGCATATGCCACTGTGCCTGGCTTCTCTTCCTTTTCTAGAGCTTGGGGCAGCACAGTAATTAGAACTGATCCCAGCCACAACCCCTGTGGTTTTCCACATTCCAAAAATGGAGGGTCCTCTAAGAACTCAGGTCAGCATTAATTGATGGAATTTAAAACTTCACAGCAGCTGCCTGGTGTCAGATGCTATGCCAGAGGCACTGCATGGCTGTTTGCTTTCCCTGGAGCTTTTAACACCTCCATGGGGAAGCTGTACCTCTCTCCATTCSACTAATAAACAAACTGAGGCTCAGAGAAGAAAGGCACTTGCCCAAGGTCATATAGCCAGGAAGCACTGGAGCCAGGGTCTCAACTTTGTCTGGCTCCAAAGCCACAGCTCTTAGCTGGTATTAGCTGTGCTAGAGTCTCTCTCTTCCTGGGCTCAGCAGTGCTGGAAGAGATTAAAGTCCCCACCATGACCCCTGCCCTCAGGGAGCTTACAGTCAAGCCAGAGAAACCAAACTCCTGCACCCCTAGAACCAGTGAATCTTAGAATGCTGGGGCAGGAAGGACTCACAGGGAACTCTAGTTGGACTTTCTAGTTTATAGAGAAGAAAATTAGAAAAGTTGAGGGGCTTTTTCAGATTGGCTCAGTGAGATAAGGACAGGTGCAGTATCTGAGTTCAGGTCTCTGATACTTTTGGCCATAAATTCCAACTTGATATAAAATTATGAGCCACTCAAGGTCAGGGTAAGTGGGGGAGAGGCAAAAGATTGATGAAGATGAGGTGTGCAGGGGAGCAGAAGGAAGGCAGTCTGGACATGGGAGCTTGGCCCTGATCCTCCCAGGCAGCAGGGAGCTATGGACCAGTTCTGAGTAGTAGCATCAGGATCAGAGAGATATCTGGAAGAGCCGGCCACATGCACTGGAAACATGGGGTGGAGGAGGGGTGCAGAGGCTGACGTGGTTATCAAGATAAGCAGAGCTCAGAGGATTGGGGAGACACTGATGAGGTGACACTCAGCACAGAGACCACAGCCCCCAAAGCATGGCCCTGCCCACTAGGCACCTGTCCTATCTCTCCACTGTGGGGCTTTGGGCAAGAGGCTGGCCTTAGTTTCCAAAGAACTCAATGAGATGGTGCCTTTGTAATCCCTAGCCCCTTGCTGACCGTTTAGAGGCTTCCTAGAGTTCTGGATGACGTCTCCTCCACCCTCAATTTCTGCTCTTCTCTCTCTACAGCCAGGAAAACTCTACCCTCTATGTCAGTTTCACCCCCAAAGGTCCCAAGATTCACCAAGTCCAGCACATCTACCAGGTATGAATCTCAAAGGGGGAAGGGTCCTTATAGACCTGAACATATTCATTCAGGCCTGCCCTGGGGATGAAGGTTGCATAAGCCAATTAGACACAGTCTATCCTCAGTGGATCCAAGTCTGTCATCCTGCCTATAGAGCTTCACAGCCTCTACTTAAATGCTTCCACCAGTAGCAGCAGGCTCACTACTGCCTTTCCACCACTGGACACATCATTTATGGGATCAGAACTTGAGAACTAGGACTCTGAGAGAGAACCTATATTTTTGCTCAAGCATTTAATGAACTGCTGTTCTACTTTAGGTACCTTGCTTGGTGCTGGGTCCCTGCCCATCACCAAGCCTAAGTTCTGCGACTGGTGCCTTATTCATACACCTGTGTCACTCGCACTCCAGCCTGTAAAGCCCTATTTGATAGTCATTGCCATTTTTATTGAACAGATGAGACAGGTCAGTACTTGCCCAAGTCTCACGGCTCCTAGGGGAAGCGATTGGATTCAGGCTTGCATTTGAATACCCAAATCCATGTGCTAAACCTCCAAATTCATGATTTGTCATTGCTCCTGCAATATGGTCATTGCCGGGCAGTGATTCTCACCCCGAACCCTCACCACCCCCCACCACCCCCATTTAGGGTTTCCTTATAGGTGACCTCAAAGGGAGTAGGAGGCATTGACTAAGTCAAGAGCATTTTCATTTTACTTTTTAGGATAAATATAATCCAGTACAGTACCGTGCAGAGGAGTGTAGTAAACTTTGCATACAATTGCTATCTTGCAGCTTTGGTCTCCACATGTTCCAAGCCAAATTTGTCATCTTCCTCTAAGTCAGCATTTCCTCTGACTTGCTCGGAATCCTTTTAAAGCACCAGCTTTTCCTCAAGTAGATTTGCCAAGTCTGCATGAATTTCTCTTCCTCTGTGCCTAGTCCCACTGTTCTATAGTCTGTATCCCTTTTCTCTTTGCCCCCTGATACTGCTCAGACTCAGTTTCTCATCTTCTTGCAACTGGACTGTTGAAACAGGCCCTAAGATTTGAGACAGGGAGATAGAGCTCTATGGTAGAGCACTTGCCCATCATATGCTGAGCCCTGAGTTCTATTCCCAGCACCTCAATAAAATAAAATAAATAAAGTTGCATACAATTTCAATGTGGCTAGTAAGGCCTAAATAGCCCAGCATTAAGAGTTATTAAAAAATTTAAAAATTTGAGGGGCTGGGGATGTGGCTCAAGTGGTAGCGCGCTCGCCTGGCATGCATGTGGCCCGGGTTCGATCCTCAGCAACTCATATAAACAAAGATGCTGTGTCTGCCGAAAAAAACTAAAAAATATATATTAAAAATAAAAATTTGAGACAGGCCCTACATGGGGCCTGACCTGCCTTTCTGAACTTCTTCCATTCTATGCCTCTTTCAATCTACTCTTTCCTCAGCTACCACCATGATTCTCCATCATCTAGTTGACAGTACCTTGACTCCTCATGCTCAGGCCTTCTGGGTCCCATAGTTGGATCCCAATATGATGGCAGGATTCTCCCCATGTCTCCTTTCCACTCTCCAACCAATCACACTCACCTGGTACAGTTCTAACTCTCCGTATCTTCTCCTTCTGCATACCCTCCCATCTTTACCTGTGAAAACCCTGGCAGACTCTCAGAGTTAAGTTCAATTGCTGCCTCTGACATTAGGCCTTTTCGAGTTACTTTAACTGATACTTTAAGTGCCCACCAATGTTTGTTGAATGAATAAACAATAGAACCCTTCATACTGGATATATATTTCCCTGCTTGACCTCCCTGAGACATATTGGTGCCACTTCTGTGTCACTTTCTTATACATTCTGGGTCTCCAGCCCTAGTACAGGTAGCTTTTTTAAATAAAAAGTATCCAAGAGCTGGTCATGGTGGCACACACCTCTAATCCCTGTAATCCCAGCAACTCAGGACACTGAGGCAGGAGAATCACAAGTTCAAGACCAGCTTGGGCAATTTAGCAAGACCATCAGCAAATTAACACCTGGTCTCAAATTTAATTTTAAGTTTAAATTTTTTAAAAAAGGACCAGGGATATAGCTCCATGGTAAAGTGGACTTAGATATTCAATCCCCAGGACCTAAAAAGTAAAATAAAATAAAATAATTAAATAAAAGCCAGATATTTTAGTCAGTGTTTTTTGGTGCTGTGACCAAAAGACCAGACATGATCAAAGTGGAGAAGGAAAAGTTGATTTAGGGTTCAYGGTTTCAGAGGTCTCAGTCAGTAGACTGCCAACTCCACTGTCCTGGGGCCCAAGATCAGGCAGAAGATCAAGGCAGAAAAAAGGAAAGCAACCCAGGACCTGACAGTCAGTAAGCAGAGAGTGCTCTGCTCACCGAGGACAAAATATATACCCTGAAGGCACACCCCCAGTGAACCACATCCTCCAGCCACACCCTGCCTGCCTATGGTTACCACAGTCATCCCTACCAGTGGGTTAACGCACTGATTAGGTTAAAGTTCTCATAACCCAATTATTTCACCTCAAACTCTCTTGTATTGTCTCATACCTGAGTTTATTTGGGACACCCGAAATCTAAACCAGGCAGCTCCTGCCTATAATCTCAGAGACTCGGGAGGTTGAGGCAGGAGGATTGCAAGTTTGAAACCAGCCTCAGCAATTTAGTGAGGCCCTAAGCAATTGAATGAAACCCTGTCTCAAAAAAAAAAAAAAAACCCAAAAAACAGATTTGGGGATGTAGTGTTAAACCACGATGCAAAGATAAGACCACCGACTCCAATTTTAAATCAAATTAAAGCAAGCTTGTAATTCTGACTAGCTGGGACAGTCCCTCTCCCGAAGTCAATGGGATAGAAGACAGCACTCCAGCTATCTAGGCACAGTTTTATAGCACAAAAAGTTGCAAAAGGGGTGTGTCTTGGGCACTTACAGATAACAGGATTTTGACAAGCATAATACAAAGGCAGGTAGCAAGTTAATGAGTAAATGTAAATCCCAACATCAGGATTTATGAGGGGCCATTAGCGTTTCAGAGAGGGTGGTTATCTGGCCAGGGAAAGCCAGAATTTATGAGGCGTCACTAAGGTTTCAGAGGGGGTTGTTATCTGTTCAGGGAAAGCCAGGCCTGGGCGAGTTCAAGGCGCGGGCAGGCATTCCAAGCCAGTTTAAAACATCAAAATACAGCCAGGCTAAATAGAAATCCTAATATTTTACAGAAAACAGAATGATTCTTTTATAACTTTTGACAAGATGGCTCCTAATTTTAAGAATGAATTAGGCTAGGTTTAGCAATAGCTCAGTGGTAAAGTCCCTGGGTTCAATTCCCAGGATCCCCCCACACACACCAAAAAAAAAAAAAAAAAAACCTACTTTTCTGGCTGGGGTTGGCTAGCTCAGTGGTAAGAACATATATTTTAGCATGTGCAGGGCCCTGAGTTCAATTCCCAGCACCTAAACAAAAGCACAAAACTACCTTTTTTTTTTTCAGCCTGCTAAGTACTAGACACCACGTCAAGCAATAAGGAATAGGAGATGAAATAAGACATTGCCTCTGTAGTCAGGAAGTTCAAGGTCTAGTGGAGTTTGAGACACAGAAACAGAAACTTTGCCATCCTCCCAGGGATGACCAGTGCTGTGGGACACAGGAGAAAGAAACTGCCCTCTCTTTGGGGTAGCAGTAAAACCTTCAGAGAGGATAATGGGGCAGGGCCTAGCAGGTGTGTGAGGGTTTGCCATGTGAAGAGCAGAGAAGCCACACTGAAAAGCTGTGAGRGCGGGCCAGGGGTGGGTCATCAGTGCCCAGTGCCCACAAATAGTGGACTCATCCAGTGAGGACCGCAGGGCACTGGGGTGGAGTGGCAGTTGGCGTGGTTGGTATTCAGTCTCTGAAGTCCCCGTCCTCTATGCCAGGTGAGGATCCAGCCTTCTGTTCATGATCACAACATGCCAACCCTAGAGGCCTTGGTTGGAGTGCCACAGCCTCACAGCGAGGGGCCCATCACACACCAGTGGCACGTACAGATGGTGAGTGCTGCCCAGGGAAGGGGGCTGCCCAGGCCTGTGGGTGAACTTGTCCTGGGTTCAAAGCTTGGAGCTGGTTATGGGAAGCGGGTAAGGATGGAGGGATCCAAGTCCCATAGACTCAGCGATGTCTAAAATAACTAAGGGCCAGTKGGGGAAGAAAACTGGAATGCTAATGTCTTTACTCGGGTGGGAAAGAGGCCCCAGACCAACTGGAGACCCCACATCTTCATTCCTAGGATCCTCCTGTCTCCTGCCATCGTGAGGAACTGAGAAAGTTGCCCAGTGCAGCTGAGGTATGAGCATGTGAGCTAAGAAACTGGGCTGGGGCCAGGCACAGAGGTGCACTCCTGTAATCCAGGAAGCTGAGGCAGGAGGGTCGCAAGTTCAGAACCGGCTCTCAGCAACTCAGCGAGATCCTGTCTCTAAATAAAATGTGAATACAAAATGTAAATAAATAAATATAAATTTATAAATTTTACAAATATGAAATATAAATAAAATAAAACATAAAATAGGGCTGGGGATGTGGCTTAGTCGTTAAACACCCTTGGGTTCAATCCCCTGTACTGCTCCCCCACCCCCCCCCCAGAAAAAGAAATAGCAAGGGAAAGAAAACAAATTTAAATTTTTTTAAAACTTTAAAAATAAGAAAGGCTGGGGATATAGCCCAGTGGTAGAGAACCCCTGAGTTCATCCCTGGTACCACAAAAATGGGGGTGGGGTAGGGGTGTAGCTCAGTGGCAAAGCCCCCTGGGTTTAATCTCTGGTACAAAAAAAAAAAAAAAGAAAAAAAAAAGGAAAGAAATCAGTCTGTGGTTGGGTAGTATGCAAAGAGACAATAGCCCTCTCTGATACCCCTGTATTCCTGACCCCGTCAGCCTTGTCTCCCAGGAGTCCTGTTCCACTGCCCATTTGTCTTCAGTCAGGAGATCCTCGTCCATGTTACCGGGACCGTGGAGCTGGTGGGCGAGATTGAGGTACCACCTACTCAAAACTGGTGATGGGGAGTAGTCAGGGCCTAGGAGCCTCCGTGGGTGGTGGTAGTGCATGGGAACTCCCCCAAATGTCTACTTCTATTTTTCTTTCTGTCTGGATGAAAAATTCCCCAAGTTTAGACAGTYGCAGATGAAAGAGAACTATGGTTTGCTTGATATTTGCAGGGCTGTTTTTGTGAGTCTACGGAAGGGGATGTTCTTGATGGGAAAAACCTCCCTTCCAGCAATGAGGAGGTGCCCATGGTAGAGAACTGGGTAGAGGAGGGTCACCCCACTGATCCCACTCCCCTCTTCTCCCCTTTGTGTTGAAGTGGGGGCAGAAGTCTGTGAGTTCTCCGTCCTTGTTCTCCTGGTACTGATGTCTCCTCACCCTTCCAACAGGCCTCTACCACGTTCAGCCTCTGCAGCTCCCTCTCCATCTCCTTCAATAGCAGCAAGCACTTCCACCTGTATGGCAGCAACGCCTCCATGGCYCAGGTATCTACCTGCTTAGAAGTCCCAGGAACAGGCAGCAGAGGGCTTTCAGGCCAGCTACACACACCCACAACCCCAGTCAAAATCATCTGCCCAGGGGAATCATCCATCCCACTTGTGTGCAAGCAGACCCCAAGGTCAACCCTCTGAGATGAGGTAGACTCAGGTGTCAGCTAAAGATCAATYGGATGGCAGTTTAGCAAAGGGTCACCAGTCCAGCAGTGAACATAGAGAGGGTGTTCAGAGCAGTACAGAGGTTCAGAGAGTGATCATTGAGAAGTGTAGACAGCCCCACAGATGAATCTTAAAGCAGAAGCAGAAGTCAGATTCAGATTTGAATGCTGAGCTGAGATTCTGGCACTGTGTGCTGGGGCTAATGGGAAGCCATATAAGTCTTTGGGAAGACTGTGGTGTGGGGTTGACCAAGCCACTGTGGTGACTATAGTGGGTGACACATTTGAGAGAGGGGGTCTAGAGCCAGAGTCCAGTGCTCCAATAAGCCCAGATGGACATGGTAAGACTGGGGACTGGGTGGTWTGGGAGCTTTTAGGGATGGGAAGGCTTGCACTCAGCTGCCCCTCCTCCCCCAGGTCCTCATGAAGGTCGACGTGGTTTACGAAAAGGAGATGCTCTATCTGTATGTGCTGAGTGGCATTGGAGGGCTGCTACTACTGCTACTAATTTTTGCAGCGTTATACAAGGTAGGAACTTCTGGGAGGAATGGGCATTGCCAAGACTGGGGGATGCCCTTTGGCAGGAGCCAGGGAGGAGACCACTGTGTTCAGGGAGCATTAGAGCCAGAAAAGGTGTCAACTTATCTCCTCTTTCTGCAGATAAGGCTACTGAGGTCTTAAAGAGCATGTGAGGTTTTTTTCCCACTATTGCTCAGTCCAGCACTGGCAGAGCCAGGACTAGGTACCCTAGAAAGGAGGGACAAGGATGCCCATGTAGCAGGGCCTCCTGGTGCCAAGTTCCATAGTACAGAGGCATATGCCAAAATATGGTCCCTGTCTTCCCAAAGGGAAGGCATAATGAGTGCCATACTGGGGACCTGTGTACTCTGGAACCTGTCACACAGGCACCTCACTCAGGCTGGGAGGGCCTGGGAAGTCCTCCTAAGAGAGGTGGCATTTTGTTGGGATTTGAAGAATGACTAGAAGATAGAGATGAAGAGTGAAGGACATATGATCCAGGTAAAGAACCTCAAATATTACAGAAAAGAGAGCACAGAAAATCAAAGTTTCTCTCTAATTCCATTCCCAGAGGGTTGTCATAAACTCCCATTTTTGTTTTTATTCCTTCAAATTCCGATTTCATTGTTAATATATGTGTGCATGTGAGTGTAAGAGAAAAGAAGGGCTGGGGTTGTGGCTCAGTGGTGGAGCACTTGCCTCACATGTGTGAGACATTGGGTTTGATCCCCAGCACCACGTAAAAATAAATAAATAAGTAAAGGTATTGTGTCCATCTACAACTAAAAAATATTTTAACAAAGAGACGAGAAATTTTATGTGTGTATAGGTGAAGAACACAAATGGAGTAATACTGTAAAGACTTCTTGGGAGCTTGTGTTTT